CCCGGCAAACATTCTGCAGCGCAAATTAGACCCTTTTCAAAGGAAGTGAAATAGAAACCATCACACGCACACACATTGTCCTCATAGCAAATTCTTCTAATGCCATCCCTACAACGTATTGGACACCGAGCGACGCAGTGCTTTGTATTAACAATACGCATTTCATAGTCCGAGCACGGTGGGTGTGGAGGTTCTTGGTGAAACCCTCTAGTGCATACGATAAAACTAGGCCACACTACACTTCTGAGTAGAAGTGCATATAACATTGATTGAATAGGTGTACTTTTTATATCAAATTTACTGACTGACATATTTGTCACTTAATATTCTTAGCACTTCTCTAACAAAACCTATTTATCCGAAGACCTACAAATATGAACTAAAATTGTAGAAAAATTATTTAATATTTTAACTTGATTAAGATTTACTACGTGAGAGCAAATACTAAAGTATCGAGAGTGAAAGTGATTTACTTAAGTAATTTGCATCCACTGAATGAAGTTCACTTCGGAATTAAAAATATGAAGAAATGTTACAATTATTCATTATCATTTACCTATTTATGCTCTTAAATAATTATATATACTCTTGAAAAAAATGTATATAGAGTAAGGGGTTTTAAATTGGGAGAATGACTTTGAATATTTTTTAAAAATTTTTCTTTTACAATTAAAATGATATCTTAGAATTTTAGAATAAACCTCTATAGTTGTGAAGACCCCTCTAAAGAACAATCCATGTTATTGATAAAAACTAGCAGAAATGACCTGTTTTGTGCAGAACTTGTCAAGCAAGTAAAAGAACTTTCAAAACACCAAATCAGAATAATATTAACCTCATAAAATCCATCATAACTGTTATTTAAGATATAAGAAGACAACCAATAAGGTTAGAAGCGGTAAAGCTGGAATCGGTAGAAGCTATCACGAAGAAAATGCGAATAAAAATAAACAATATTTCTTATGTCACTATTAAAATTTATTCTTCTAATGTATTATCTCATCTCTATCGTATGATATCTTTTATCAAATAACAATATGTTGCAATGTCTGTATATTTCAAATTGGTGCCATGATTAGTTTAGCACTTATGTCAAATATCTTTTTTGTGCTGATCTCATTGATCCTCATATATCCACTTTGTGTGGAGAACAAGAACAGTATAGAGCATGTTATATGCTTTTGTCTCGCCCTGCGGTCCAAAAGTTCCTGGAACCGACTTTGTAAATAGTATATATGTGAGCTTCTTACCTTTTTTAAACGTTCTTGTTTCAAAAGAGATTCATAGCACAATGGACTTTTTTAATATGACTTAGTTACTTTTTCCAAATGTTTTCCAATTTATCAATAGTATTCGTAAGTGAAATCAGATTAACGTTATAATGGACTTATTGTTATGAGCTCTTTATTTCTTCCAAATGTTCTTCCCTTCCTTAAAAGTAAGTAAAATACTAGAACTTAGATTTGAGAGCTTAGTAGCTTTTTACAAATTATTTTTAAAATACAAAGGTGCGCTGATTCTGAGCTTCACATTTGGCAGGACCCGAGTTCGATTCCTGGTATTTGCAGTCTCAAAAATAATTATTTACGAATAATTAAATACAAGAATTATTTTCAAGACCACTGATGATGGGTATTTGGCAATACTCGAAACAGCTGTATGGTCAGCCAAAAATACAATTAATTAAAATAATATAAAAAATAAAATTTTTGTTGTTGTATTTCACTACTGTTCGAAAAAACCTCTTTATAAAATACAAATGTAAAAAATGTTAAATTATTTATTGGAAATATCGAACGCATTGTTTATTGACAAAATGTTCTACCAGATTATCAATTTCGATTTACAGCAAAACATAGAGTAAGTTCATCGAATTGATCAAAGAGTGCTGATAATATATGACACAAGTCTTCGATAAAGAACTTTGAAAATTATGTAAAAAATCCATAAATCTGGTGTTTAAAGTGGATAATTAAGTTTAATGAAACCAAATGCATTTAAAGAACATTTGGATTAAGATATGGTAACTGTCCATAAGTATCTAGTATTTACCTAGATAAAAGATATAGACATATTTAGGTAAAAGGATAAAAATCATTTTAAGAAAAAAAAATTAAATTAGAAAATTAAAAATTAGACCAATCTGGAACTATAAAACCTAACTCCGATCTGTGGACTGAAGCCCTAATTTGGAAACAAATCAAAAACTTTAAAATGAATGTCTAGGAGCAATATATGTACCATGGTATATAGAAAATAAATAAATATACTGAATCAAAAAATAAACACAATTAAAGAAGGCTTCAGAAAAATTATTAGAAGTTATCGATTATAGTTGTTTAAATACCCAAACCTTTTGGTACGAAGGCTTTAATACGGGGATATATTGAATGAGGCTAAAAGAAGGACCTTGTATATAAAGTCAGGTTGCACATTAACATCATATTTGATTAAAAAGGATAGAATAAGATTGCTATATAATATACATCTATATATCGTATATATGTAGATATTTTATATTTTTAATATATTTTACCATAACTTACAAATGTATGTAATATTATCATTGTGGAATATAAAAAATGTTATGTTATTTAGATTTAAGATTTGATTATTTATTGTTAATTTAAATATAAAGACAACTTTAATAGCAAAAAAATATATTTCTAAAATGTGGTTTTAGTGGATTCACGTCTCATAGAATAGCTTTGAATGCTTTCCACACAAAAGAAAGTAATTTTTTTTTTATATGACAATATCTCTTTATTGAATCGCTTTTATTTAAAGCCTAACAATAAGTTCAAGACACTTAAAAACTAATAACATTATATTACAAATTTTATATAAATTATTACAATGAATAATAGAAAGAATTATAAATTATTGTTAGGAGTCACTAAATAAGTAGACATTACGACGCATAAGTTCAATTAAACAGGATAATCTTTACGAAATCAGGATTTATCATTCCGTTGCAGTCTATAGGAATTTATTATATTAGCAAGAGGTCTAGCCAATGGATTCACATGGTCAGTGGCGTCGCTAGGCGTCAGCGATGTCGGCGACCGCCGACGGCCTCGCGAACGCAGGGGCCTCGCATAAAGTTACCGACTTTTGGATTCTAAGCACTTAATAAATATTTTGAACAATTTGGTTTGATAATGGCATTAACCATATTCGAAGTATTCCCGAATGTTTATATAGTAGTTTCGACGAAAAGAAAGAAGCAAATTTAAAATTGATTAAGACGTACTAGAAAAGTATGATGAACCAAGAGAGACTATCTCCATTCGAATTTCTATAAACTGAAGCGAAAATAGCAGCTGGCGCAAATTATGATATAATTTAAAAAAAATTGAGTGAAGCTAAAAGTAGGAAAATTCATTTATTTTAATTTGTGTTTATTTTAATTTGATTAGGATAAAACTTTCAATCATGCTTTGGGTTAACAGGGGGCCTCGTAATTCTAATGCCGCCGACGTCCAGAGTTGGCCTAGCTCCGCCACTGTACATGGTTTTTAAGTTTTGAAACATGCGTCTGCCTTATTTTCTCGAACTCAACTTTAACCGTCGGAACTTTCAAATCGTAATGTATGTTTTAATTTTTGATATACCAGATATCATCATTCGGATATCATTCTTAGAATCTTTACTTGAGCTTATTGCAGAATTTCTACATTTGACGAACAGGCATTGCCATATAGCTGTAAGCCACATTGACTTAATGAGTTGGTTGTTTAAGAAGACTGTACACATAAGGAAGACTACTGTGTTTTTACCCAGCTCAAGCGCGGTGGTGACTTTGCACTAGGGGAATCGCCTTTCTTGTGGACCTGGACCAATTACAGGACCTGGCACTAAATAGCATTTTATGCTTCGCCAAAGGTTCTAGGTGGTTTTAAATCCTGAGTTTTTCTTCATTATATACGGTAACACAATGGGCTATTAGGCCTAAGTCAATCCACTAGGGATCGCCGGTATAACCTAACCTAACCTAACCTAAGGAAGACTGATGCACGATTAGCCAGTGAAGGTTTCTAGCTTGAGCTTCATTTGAGTCCTTTTTGTTTCAATATGTTTCCGCTAAGTTAAGAGTTTGACAAGGTGAATAACGATGTATGTTTTTGTTTCTGTTTGCGGAACTACAATTCCTTTGAGAGTGATAGTTGGTGAGGAGGATCTGTCTGTTAAGTGAAAATGTTATATGAAGGAAAGTAAATGAAATTAAAAATGCACTACGGTGGAATGCAGTAAACACCTGTTTTATACACCAGCTTGAGGTAAGATAATATAAACCTTATATATGAGAGTTCTTTCACCGAAATTTATATATGAGTGTGTATGCATAAGTCAAAAAGCGAGGGACAAACGTTTTCATTTTTCGCGATATCTTCTAGGAATAAACCATAATTAGGTATATAGCCGATGTGTTTATTTTTTTTATTTATTAAAGCTGTCTATGCTTACTTTATGGATTGATGTAATATTCATAGACGAGACAGAGTTGATGGAAGCCTATGTACATATTTGTGTATATGTATGTATGTATAGTATATGTAAGTATTCGTTTCGTACTTCTTATGCACTTTAAAAAGTTTAATTATTTATAACACATTTTGGCTATATATGTACATACATATAAATACATTATTTCTATAACACAAAAAAAAAAAAAACAAAACCAATAAATAAAAATTATTCTCATAAAAATTGGTTTAAAAAAAAGGGGGAACCAGAAAACAAAAAAAGAAGTAATTCAAAAAAAAAAACAAAAACTATGACTTCACATCTGTGAGACGCGTTTGGCAAAAGTTCGCTGTTGCGGCTGTTGCCCGTGTGGCCGGCCTAACTGTATGCGTCATATGTTCGCTGTATGATTCGCTGAACGCTGAATGATATACCCAGTTTTGTGCTCCCCTTTCTCTGCCGCACAGTACAATTCAATCAGCTTCAGCTTTTTAATTCAGGATTGAACAACTCACTCATGGTGTACGGGCGGCATGGGTAGCTGCTAGCTACATTTCACTGCAACTGCTTTGTCAGTCTTTCTTCGGCCACTGGCGCGGCGGTAGCATAATTCGGGAACTTTTTGGTGTGCGGTGTTTGTTATTGTAGTGTTGGCGAAGCTTCCGATAGAAAGTTTAATATTTTTTATTTTGTTTATACAAATTGTATATTTCAAAATTACAAAAAGAAAATAAAAACAAATATACAAAATAAATAAAAATATAAATAATTCTGTTGAAAGCAGTGGATTCAATTATTTCTTGGAAAATAAATTTAACAAAAAAATACTATTCTTTTTTTTTTTGTTTATTGTGAAAATGTAAGCAAAATTATATAGAATATAATAAATATTTATTTATTTATAAAGATGTTTATACTATAGTATTTTTATTCATATATACAAACTCTGCACTCATGTATAATTATTTGAATTCTAATCGCCAAAAGCAAATAGCAGTGTGTGAAGCAGCTTTTTTTTATTTTTTTTTTATTTAATTTTTTTTGTTTTGTTTTTAGTTTTTTTTTCGCTTTTTGTATGAAACGCGCCCTTCTTTCCATTTCGTTGAAAGTTCTTGTTATGCTTGTTCTGTTTTTGTTGTTGTTATTATTGTTAGTGTTGTTGTTAGTGCTGCTGTTAGTGCTGTTGTTAGTGCTGTTGTTAGTGTTGTTGTTAGTGCTGTTGCACTTGATGTTGTTGTGCTTGTTATTGCTGCTGTTATTATGTTACAAAATCAACAAAAAGTTTGTCTGTTGTTCTTCTTCCTATAAAATAGTTAGATCGAAAGACATAGACCAGCCGCACCCCAGCTGTGCACGCATTCCACGCAATCCACCGCCATTGCCGAGTTCATGCTAATGTTGATAATAATGATGTTACTACTTCTTCTTGTTGTTGTTATTATTGTAATATGCTAGTCGCGAATTGTTGTTTGCTATTCTGACAGTGTGCCTGTTGTGTTTGTTCCCTTGTCTTTGTTACCAAATCTATTAATATGTAAATAGCGAAATTTATGCAACGTTCTTCTTCTTCTTCTTCCCCTGCTTGAAAAGTGCTTTTTCCAACCACACACATATGTACATGCTACTTACATACATATTTCACAGCACATATCCGCATATGCATATGCAAATGTCCGTCATAAGCCAAGCCGACACATAGTACAATGGCTGACAACAGCTCCTTCAACTACGATCGATCGATGTGCAATCGTAAAACATGTCAAAAACAATAAAAACAAAAAGAAAAAAAAACAAAAACAGATGCTTTTTAATTTAAATTTTAATTTGAATTTTAATTTGAATTTCAGCATGCAGCAAAGTTCTCTAGTGCGCCTCTGCAGTGTCTCCAGTGTCTCCTCCATCGTTCAATTGGGGCGTTTGCAATCAACGCAATTGAAAGATGTATAATCACTCAGCGATCCAATCGTTGTACAAGCAAATAAATTACATCACAAACTAATTCGAAGATTAGGCAGACGTACATTGTTTATTACTTCCGTACCGAGCGAGCGAATGAAGTTCGAATTTCGTTTGGCCCATAATTGTAGAATTGTAGGGTCATTGTCTCTTTATTGTCATTTATTGACCAATAGTACAAAGCGTGGAAGGAAAAGCTTTAGCTTTTGCTTTTGTTTTTGTTATTGTTTTTGTTTTATTCTGTTTTCTTTGCATAATTGCATGAGTGTGTCGTGCGCTGAATAATAATTCATAATTATGGCATTTATAGATAATAGGGATACGAGAGTTCTGGTATAAAGACTGCATGTCTCTATGCTTATTTTATTTAAGTTTAGAATTGCTTTAAGTAATAAAAATTATTTTACATATTTTCCACATAAAGAAACTGTCATGTGGTGGGGTGTTAAATACCAAGAAAAAGTTTTATATATGGACATACTATGTATATTTGAATAGATTAAATATGTCTCTTGATTACTGATTGCGAGGGAACGGTTATGTTGCAGTTGTTGTGCAATTACATCCGAATTAGTAGTTCTAAAACGGCTGTATTGATGATATAAGAAGAGTATGTTGTTCAATGTAATATTATAATCGAAAAATATAATATAATATAATCAATATACATATATTGTCATCAACAATAATCACTTTATCGCAATCTGCCCAATTTTGAAGGAAATAAAATAGAAGTACTTTAGAGGGTTTTCGAACAGCAAAGAAAGTAAGGACAAACACAAAAATTTTAGAAATTTATTGAAATTTGGTTGACCACACAACGCGAGTATTCATCTCATCAGTGGTCTTAGGAAATAATCGAATTCAATTAGTTGATAGTCCGTATATAAGTACTCATCATCAGTGGTCTTAGGAAATAATCGAATTTAATTAGTTTATAGTTCGAATATAATTTGTTTGGACTAAGACCACTGATAATGAGTACTTGGCAATGGTCGAAACAGCGTTGTATGGTCAGCCAAATTTCAATAAATTATTTAAAGTTTTTGTGTTTGTCCTTTCTATCTTTGCTATTCGCAAACTATCTAAACTTTAAAAATAACTTCTTTTTCATTATCAGAAAGCGTAGCTTTTTCAGCAACACTAATAAAAACTTAATACAAGTAATTTGGATAAATGTCCTTAAGCCAAACGAAATTACACAGTGTCCTTCATGGAATAGACTGAGTGAATTTGTGCGTATGTCTCAACCAAGCCTTAAAATATGGATAACAAATTATAGATGGAAGCTTTTAACCCCACATATGCATAACAATAATATTTACTAATTATGATATCAAACTCGCAACAAGATTAGGAGGATAAAATGAGTACGCAATCGCTAGGTAAAGCTGACGACATTAGTTCATAGCTTTAAGTAAATACCATAATGTATAAAGTATGGATTAATGATTGTCTGTTTTTAAATTATTAATAAAGAATACTGCTACTACTACTACTATATTGTTATCAAGAAATGACTGAAAAAAATAAATTTTCAAGCAAATCACTTACTTTCTTCCTTACCTAAATGGCCATAATAACCTGTTAACGGGTTTCGATCTGACGCAGCATATCTCCGCTGATATTTATTCTCAGGACATAAGCAAGCTAGCGAAGTCGTGAGATGTTTATTCATCAATTTGTTGAGCACAAAAGAACTTACGAAGAACATTTATTTCGAAAACTCCCACTACTGTTTCATCACGCTGTTATACTGATATCTTTTCATGGCTGGTGCCTTGAGAGACATGCTGCGTTAGGTAACGGTAACGGGTTATGGCTTAATAAATTAGTAAGTAATCCTATATTATAAAGCAGCAAGTTATAAATCAAAAATATAGCTCACCTAATTATACTATTATTATTATACTATTATTTTTAACAAAGATAACAGATCTAGTTCATCCATACGAACTTAAATATATACTAGGAAAATTATGCTATAAACGTAATATCTTCATTTACTTGATTGTGACCAAAGTTAACAAGCTGAAGATGGTCACTTATCGGATTATAAATTTTGACTTTAATAACGTCGAAGTTTGCGATGTATATTTCTTGATCTTTAAAGAAAACCTTAGAACACATACGAGTATAAATTGTTCCAAAACGAAAATTGTGTCAAAATAAAACGCCCTATTTTCTTTATTTTACTTAAATTTAATGAAAGATAAATGAAAATATATAAAAAAAAATTTTAAATTTTGAAGTTAATTTATTTTAGTTCAATATGGCCACCTTTAGCATGAATTATGAATTATTAAACGGCTAATAAAGCTATCGTACTCTGCTTCAGGCGCTTGCTTCAGGCGATCAATATTTTGATATTTTTTATTGCTAAGCTTACACTTTAAAACACCCCAGACTAAAAATCTAAAGGGTTACTATCAGGTGAACGCGGTGACCCCTATGTTGATGGAATAGCACGAAACGTTGTTATTCAGTCATTCTGGATTGACAAGTGCTGAGTCCTGTTGTATTGTCCAACACCTATAACTGAAATTCTCATATGTACATGGCTTTTGTGCTTCCTCTAAATGGGAGAGATCATACACTTTATTGAACCTTGATGGCTATAGTCCGAGCAGATTTTTCATAATGTTTTGAATCCTTTTTTGCTATATGTTCAGCTTCTTGACATTTGATTGTAACTATTGCGTGTGTTTCGCTCAATTCGCTACTTCACTTTACGAATTATTTCTAGTGTTGTTACTGTCCACTTCCTGGGCGTCGGGCAAGGCTACCAGTATCACGGTATCGAGCTATGGCACGAGACACAAATGATTTGATCACATTAAGGTGTTGGAGGACTTAACCACTTGTTTTTCCAGTCAAATATGAAGCAACCATACTATAATGTTTGGACTCCATCGCATACAATTTCTTTCCTACAAAACAAAAATCAAAATGCCTTCATATGTTTGTAAACAACACAACGAACTGTCATATGAATTAATTTTGAGCTTTGAAATATTATTTGTTTAATAGCTAGATCGGAGCGAAGTTTGTTGTAATTTTCATCAGCTACCTTATATATACATTTGATAGTACAATATAACATAAAGCTCAAATAGATAATCTCTTAGGAAAATTAATTTATTTTATTCATTATCCACAATACTGTGAATGAAGCGCTTTGAATTGAGTCCTTAGTGGATAATTCTATGGAATAAAGTTATCTCTTTTCAATATTATTTTTTATACTCTAAACATTGAAGCGAATGAAATCTGTTTGTCTCAATATATTCTTGATCAGATTGTCTGTCTGTCTATTAATATGACCACTATATAATATTACCACTTAGTACATCGTGAGATGGAATATTAGCATTTATGGAATATTAGTATTTATTGTCTGTTAGCATACACAATATAATTATTAAAGTACATAGAGAATTGCGTTTTATACACAATACAATTCTCATTATGTTTAGTTTTGATTCAAAATAAAATGAAACACTTTTAGTTTGATTTCTATATTATTTTAATACAACTGTAATTGACTTCATCTTTAAAAAGTAAAATATTTTATTTTCAGGTTTTAAAGAGAAAATTGAATCGGCGTTAGTATATTATATAGTGTTGATATTCAATCGTAATTCTTTCAATTTTTTTTTTAGTAAAGGTATTATATTTTTAGTCAAATTTCATTGAAAATTTTTATAGCGGTTTAAAAAATAGGCTTTGCTTGTGCGCTTATATTGACTGTCATAGGATATAATGACCCTGTTCCGATAGTTGTGACGTCTCATAAAGCGATTATGTGTAAAAGATTGGTTCATCGAGATAACCAAGAATGTAAGCAGTTACTGATATCCATTAGCATTGCAAACATCTTAGCGTACTCGATTTACCTATTTCTAATATAAAAAGTAGTCATTTTCTTGTGTTTTTATACTAAACCATATACACTAACAGTACATTTCAAATCCGTATATATATTCAGTTCAAAGCTAATAGAACTTTGCTTTAAAAAACTTTAATTAAACATGGACCCAGATTTATTTCTATGAATTTAATATTATAAACTTAGAATTTGGAGCATTCACTAATTAATAACGCATCCGAATGTCTTAGATTAGTTTGTGTTGTATCTGTGATACTGTGTCTCTATTATGTTACCATATAAAATTTAAGGGATTGGATATCATCCATTTCACAAAGTATATGATGTTTTTCAAGGAGGGATTCCGCTGTTGACTGATATTCTATAAAAAAAAGTTTCTAACAGGCTTTATCTACATTGCAAACGGGCTGGTAGTCTGGACCACTGTATTCGTCCTCTTTACAGTTATTAAACAAAAGACTAAATCTTTAAGAATGGTATCCTAATATTTTTAATGATTGAAGTTTCTGTATAAGTACTTCTGTCGACAGTTAAAATCTTAGTTCTTTAAACGAAATCCGACAAAGCATTCGATTTGAAAATATTTAAATTACTTTTTTCATCTCAATTCCGATAAACTTAACTTCTTTTTAGATTGGCGCAAAGATACAATAATTTTCCCACTTCTTTAAACTATTCGATCATGCTATCAAGAGAAGTAAAAACCCGCACTTCTTTAAATTGAGTTTGTTTATTAGAAAATTTGTGTTATCTTTCGGGTTTTTTCTTATTGTTTTTGTTGTACATAAGTTAATTTTAATATATATTATCGTAGCTTCAATTATTAGGTCATTTATATTTAACTGCATGTATGGTTACTGATCTTTGTTAAGAGTTTGCATGTGCTGATTTTATGGTTTAATAAATCCCATCAAGAGGAATCTTGAGATACCAGTGCTTTTCCAAATAATATTCAAAGGAAACGTATATATAAGCACAATGAATAATATAATTTTTTCATTTGTTCAAAAACATTTAAGATAAAAATTTCTAAAAATAAATTATTGTGAAGTTATTATAAATATAATTCATAACCGCAATTGTTCCCAAAATATATATACTAAAAGTTCCATGAAATACGCCAAAAAAATTAATTTTGATTCTCAGAAAACTAAGCAATGATCGCTTAAAATATCGAAGTCTATCCCTGAATAATTTTATCTAAATCTAGATTTCATGTTAAAAAAAACATAAAAGTTTCATTAATAAATTTAAATGCTTCATTTATGAGATTAACGGACTGGTCACTAACCCAATACAAAGTATACAAAACAGAAAATCTGAGTCATAAGTCTATGTAGAGAGGGATTAGTGATATTTTGTACTCTAACTAGAATTAACCTGATATAAAACTATTTACTATATAAAAATAAAAGTATTCCACTCAACTCCTACTAAAGGAATTTGTGGTAGGCACCGATAACTATTTAGAAATCAATACACAATCTATTAGAAACAATAGTTCTGAATAAATTTACTTAATGGAATGCTAGTCAGTATCTGAAGCATTTTTACTCAATAGAGACTGTGACTACTTGGAAGATTCACTGTAACATAATGAGTTATTTTGGTGATTTTACAGTAGTTTGAAGCGCAGCATATCTACTTGATAGAATATATATACCTATGTATATTCCATTTGCTTTAAGTGATTCTAGTTCTGAATTAGTGTGGGCATCCACAGATTTCAATAACTTCAGCGTTTTGTCTTTAATTTACTTTTGCATACTCTCAACTTTCATTCTTTCTATATATCTTCATTACTGATATACCATGCAGTCCGTAGCAACTAATCAGTTGCCTGAATACCCCTAATATTTTGATAAGTTTAAGGTTTTCTAATGGTGGATGGAATAGTTTTATTTTTCAGACTCAACTTTCCTTATATTAATGGTTTCAGGGCATTCAAAGTTATATTACAAGCTAGTTTTTTGACCCTTATATTCTTTAACCAATTGTGTTTTCTGTAGATACGTTAAGAATCGGTGTACAAGCGCAGTAAAAACTTTAAATCGTACTAAATAGTGCACATGAACCAATGGTGCCACCACACAAATCAGACTCGGTTGGTTGCTGTGGAAGCTCAACAGACTTTTCATGTACCTCAATTATCGATTTTACCATATTCCTCACAAGAACCCCTAAGATAGAAGAATATAGACTAAATCCATCAAATCAGACTCGGTTGGTTGCTGTGGAAGCTCAACAGACTTTTCATGTACCTCAATTATCGATTTTACCATATTCCTCACAAGAACCCCTAAGATAGAAGAATATAGACTAAATCCATCCAGCCGAATTTTTAGGTCTTTTAACTTTACCAATGAAGTCTGATAATCTATTAAATAAATATCTTTCTAAAAACTTATTTCTTCTAAACGCCAAAGCCAGGCATTCAGAGAGAAAATGCTTAGTTGTTTTTTTTTTCCTGTAGGTTTCCACAACTTCTGCAGTGAATAATATGAGGAATGAACAGTATACTGTACACCAATGACCCGAAAAAACTGCAGTACGCCTTGCAGTGTTCACACAATCCCTTTTGATAAGCTCCTAAGATCTAGTTTTATTATAGGTGGGACTAAAAAGGTTACTGCTTAAAGGATTTTTTATGTAAAGTATGACAGTAAATTATTGTGTCTAGGCTTATTATTATATATATATCATGTGTACTATATGTATATATTTATATATATATCGTGTGTACTATATATATGTATACATATATTTATATATATATTATGTGTACTATATATACCTATATATCATATACACTATTTTAAATACCAGAAAAAAATTTAGACGATATTTATAATAATAATATAGTGGTCGCTTATAAATTAGAACCTGATTTTGGTATGCAAAAATATTCTTTGGGTTTCTAATATCTAAGTTTCTTCATTTTCATTGATCAATAAGATAAAATGAAAAATGGGGAATCACCAGATATTATCTTCTATCTTCTTCTGCGATTGTTGTACATTTTAATAACTTGATGAAATGATGCAAAACCAGTGAGGTGTTTCTCCCTGATCGTATGAGCAATATTTCTTCACAATAAGATGAGATCATATTAATATCGTATCATTTAATTTCAAAAATTAAACCAAGAAACAAACATAATTGTATAAATAAATTTAAGTGAAAACACTGCTTGATTATTATATTATTTTTACATTTTATGACAAAATAAGAGCTTCACATAAATGAGAACATTTCGGAAAATAGAATTACGCAAAGAACAAAGTGCTTCTAGTTTGTGACTGTCTGTATTATATGTATATGAAATGCATACGAAAATGTGTAAATCCCCTCTTGTATCTTAATTTGTTACGCTTATATTAACGATGTAGAAAAGAATATTAGTACTATTATGTTTTAAAATTAATACTATATTTTTACAGATTTTTCGATGTATTGATTCTGAACTATAGAATTTATCAATTAAAAACATTGAAATAGAGACGATGTGCTACGTTATAATTACTGGCTGTAGTCTGATTTGGTTCATATTGAGCCTCATAACGGATATGTTTATAGTATCAGCCATAGTAACACCAAAATGGCTTATAGGACCAGAAATAATCTATGGTGGACACAAATTACCAAATCAAACGTTTGTAATATCAACTATGCAAGCAAAATTCCAGTCTGTGGGCATCTATACGCGCTGCAAGTCAATGCATGACTATGGATATCATTGCGGTCCATTCGATTTGGATGGTTTTGCAACAGATGGCAATGTTTATCCGACTGAATGGAAGATAGCTATGTTTTTCATATCGTTTGGATTTGCGGTATTCTCCTTGACAGTATTTCTGACACTCTTAACTTGTTGCAGGCAATCAGCTTTTGGTAAGAGCATACACAACATGACCGCATGTTTACAAGTAATTTCAGGTGAGTACGCTGAAATAATTATTGGATCTGTTTATTTTATTGACATCTCACTATATTTTTAGGTATATCAGTGATGTTGACATTGTTTCTGCATCCACTTGGTTGGGGAGCGAGACGTGTGCAAATGTTATGTGGTGTTGACGCGGAACCATTTTATCCAGCTAATTGCACTATTGGTATATCGTTCTACTGTGCGGTGTCCGGAGTAATTTTGGCATTTATTTGTGCAGGCATTAGTCTTAAGGCAGAAAATTCGAATATGCGTTCACGCGTGAAAAGAAGAGTCGAGGGCGGTGAACGTTTAGTGTGTATTCCATGAAGAAACAAAGCAGAATAGTATTTTACAATTATATTTATTTTAAATATATAAGCAAATAGAATTTAGATAACGTAACAATTTTTAATACATTGGCGTACTTGATAGGCACATTGCCTAGAATAAAGTTAGTACTTTAAATATATGTGTAACTACTTCTTTTTGCCCTTTCCTTTTTTCGAACTAACATCAGGAGACTCCGTTTTTGCCTTGGGTAAATAAACGCTATGATTGGTTTTTTTAAGATGTGCAAATAATTTATTCTTGGAATCGAACTTAGCATTGCATGTAGCGCAATCATGGGTGGTTGCTGCTTCAGTAACATTCTCAGTTTCTGTTATAAGCGTGGTTGTGAGATCAGTTTTTATTTCCTCAATGTTTTGCTTGTTGTCACTTGAAGCTTTTGCTTGCTTTTTATTTTTTTGTTTTTTGGCGCTTTTTTTATTTGAGCTATTCCAATTTTCTGTATCGCTGTTGTCTTTGTTTTCTGTATAAATAGATAAGTTGTTCAAGTCTTCTTCAATATCGGAACTGCTTGGAAGAGTACCTAAAGTGGACTTATTTGTTTTTGATTTTTTACTCTTTTTATTCTTTTTAGATTGTTTTGGTTCTTCCTCATTAGCAGAAGATAATATGGCTTCGTCTTCCTCGTGCGTTTCTATATTATCGTCATTCACTGTTTTAGCCTCTTCTTCACTAGCACAGTTAAAAGCCTCTTCTTCTTCCAACATATCTTGTTTTACACGCTCAGTGTTCTCACGATGCTTTTTACTTGATTCGTGATTTATGTAAGCGCGCTCGTTTTTAAATGATTTATTACATGCGACACAGTATAATTCATTATAATATTCAATTTCAGTCTCTAGCTCTTCCTCAGATGCTTCCAACATGTCATCCTCATCATCCTCGTCGCTTATATCATCATTATAATGCGATTCAAGTTCTTTTAATTGCATTTCGTAGTTATCATTGAGATGTTGATTCGGTACTTGACGCATTTCTTCTAGTTCTCTTTGTCTCTTGCGTATTTGCTCCAAACGATTCTGTTCTTGTTTCTGGCGATTGAGTGCTGCACGTTCTTCAAGCTTTACTTTATACGCTTGTACACGTTTGTCTCTTTTACGTATAAATGACACCAAATTACGCACCTAAAGAAAGAAAAATATATATGTATTATTTGTGAGAATGATAAAAGCAAGAGTTTACCTCTTCGTTCCGTTCCTTCTTAGCCTTTTGTGCAAGTTTCTTCAATTCTTTTTCAATTTCACGTAGTATGCGCCTATCTTTTATTTCTTTTATGTCATATGGACATAGCCATGTGTATGTTTTCTTGGTGCAGTACGCTTGCCAAAAAGCATAGAAAGGACCCACTACTTCCTCATAGTTACTTTGCGAATCACCAAAACTTGGTATTTCAGCCACCTTTTCTTCATCATCCATAAACTCTGCATCTTCAGCAACGATTTTTGCAAACACTTCTCGGTAAACGGCGTAGAAGCCTTTGCTGTCGTCACCATAGCCTTTGTAGCATGACACAGTGAAATACTGGAACACGTCGAGGCAATTCTCTTCGTATTCTGAATTCTTACCACGCAGAATTTGTTCCCGGTGATTATCATACCAAGCCCGTTCATGTGAATCTGAGAGTACATCATAGGCTTGCTGTATCAGTTGGAAGCGTTCTTTGGCTTCCTCAAGATTTTGAAGATTTTTGTCTGGATGCCAACGTAAAGCCAGTTTACGATACGCGGTTTTTATATCACTATCGATTGCATCCCTTGCAACGCCGAGCTCCTCGTAATAGCACTTCATTGTTTACGCAGTTTTTTGAAATTGCACCAAGGAACAGGTATTTTTTTTTAAATATACAACAAATTTGAGTTACATTTCATTTGCAAACGTTTAAATAAACATGTGTGAAAAACATCTGTTCTTTCACTCAATGTTGAATTCGCCTTAGTAGGGTGTATGTCAATATTTTTATTTTAAATTCGGTATTTACACGCGGCGATTTTGCCAAAAAATTAACTTAATTTCGTTGCTTGGTGAAAAAAGAAATAGTGTCAGTTTTTTATATATTTCATTATGGTTTTAATTTAAAATTTAATTTTGGTTTTGATAATAATTTAATGTATTTATTATAGAAAATTATATAAAATAATATGTAAAATAATATGAAATAATTATATAAAATAATTGAATTAAGGCACGCAATTTAATTTAATAAACTTGTTTTGTTATCTTGCTCTTGTTATTATATTTTGACATATATTTAAGTTAATAAGACTGTTTTTGGTTGAAATACAAGACAACTTAACAACAAACTAGTTTTAACAGAAATATCACCTTTTTATATTGTACTTACTATTAATAACATAATAGTTATATGTTAGAAACCTTCATTTCATATATATTATTTATTATAGTTGAGCATTTCAGATTTCTAATATGTTTATTGTATACTTTTAAAACAATACGAAATCGTCATTCAAAAATTGATTAAAAACTCGACGTTTTTAATTTAATTTATATAACAATAGCACCAGTGACGATTGCTCTAAGGTGCGGAGGTGTGCGGTGAACACCCTAACATAATTTGCAAAATGTCAAATAACATAGGTATATAAATTTATTAGGTATCTTCACATCAAGAATTATTATTAATTATTACATTTCCATATACATATATATTTTTTAAAGTTTTAGCAAAAACAATTAAATATAATTGTCTATGAAAACTCAATCAATTTGCTTCTGTTAGCTGCTATCATAGAGTATATATACTCTTTGCTGCTATACTTGTTAGGTGTGCTCATATATTTGCAGCTCAAATCACAGAACATTTCTATTTTATTTCGTCTCTCCCCTTTGTGTGCAAAGAAGTTGGCAGCACATTCATACGTTGCATATGAACAAAATAATGTGCGTGTGCTCCCGTTCGTAATATCAGAGATAGAGATTTATATAGTGAGAATTGTATGAGAGTAATTTTCTGTTCTATTCGAATATCAACTGCATGCATACGAATCCAACATTATGATTTGCCAAAGTGGTTGCATGGCGGCTGAAGTTTGCAGCTCATCTCACCATACATTTCTATCACATTTCGTCTCTCCCCTTTTAACAGCAGCACCCACGAATTTCTGTTCTTATGGTGCGGGGTACTTGTGCGCACATTGCAAGTGGTTTCGATTTTGTTTGATCACTGCACAAACATGTATGTTTCTAAGTACAAACTCTTTTGTTTGAAAAAAGTTGGTTTGATGTTACGAGAATTATGTGAAATGTTTTGTTTCTTCCATATTGATATAATATTAAATTTATATATAAATTATTAATTTAATTTGTTTAATATGTTATTTTGTTAATGAATTGTTAATATAATATTGCGAATATATTGTTGCCTAATATAATATGGTTATTATTAATAAAACATCTCATATATTTTAATTTAAGTGGTACATGTAAAAAAAACATTAAAGAAGAGCCGCACACCCTTCCAAATAGGGCACGCGTCGTCACTGAATAGCACGAATATAAATATTACTTTCAAGAATTCTACTTCGAATAAAAGAGGGAACAATAATGAGCAAATTTTCAAAGCGAAAATATTTTATTATATTTTATGCAAATTAATTCTTAATTAATTATTTCACAACATCGGATGATTTCCAAGTTTGTAAGTAACATAGAAATTAGTATATATATATATACCATTATTTATTTACTACATAATTCACTTTATAAGGAAATACCCACTTTGTAAGAGAATTAAATAACTTAACGATTCTAACTAAATCTAAATTTTAAGTTCATATTCAAAAATGGATTAGAATTATTTCATTCACCTATTAGTTAGCATTGCGGGCTTATGCTCCTCTTAGGAGTTAAAGGATTTAATATATATATATATATATTAGTTAGCATAACATTTTTGTATAAACTGTTTTATACAAAAAATTTATTGATTAAAGTATTTTTTTAAAAGAATTTCTACGAAATATAGATAAAACGATAACATATAAGTTGCTTTTTCTAGAACTAGGAAGAAATATTTAATTATAAAACATGTAATTTGCACTGCAATGTAAACTACATAATAATCACAAAGTTATTTATATATTATACTATTATTAATTATATAGTCAGTCAGTCTATGGAAATTTAAAATTTTTATATCATTTAATCATTTTAATTGAAAATTTCAAATTTATTAAATTTCGCCAAACTAATGCGTATACACAGCCGCTGTACAATTTCGAATAATAACTGATGTTGCAGAGTGAATGAAATAATTCATCGTTGCATACTTCGAGGCAAAAATGTTTAAATATTTATTAATTCCTAAAATTAACACAAATTAATTTGTTTTTAAATAATTATTTATTTAACTATTAATTTAGGTTTTTATTTAAATTATTAAAAATATTGTTATTAATCATTAAGAAGAAAATCAGTTAAAGATATTTTATTATAAACACTTAAAGCGTTTATTGTAAATTTATGGCATGATAATTCTCTTAAAAATTTGGTCCATAATAAAAACAGTCATTCTTCTTCTATCTTTTTACCAATTCGACTATAAGTATTGGCATCACATATTTTTCTTTTTTTTTAAAATATCAACCACCTTTGTGGTGTGTTTTCTGTTAGGTTTGCTAACATATTGCATTTCGATCCGTTGCGGTTGTGTTGCAGTTTTGATAATTGTTTGTAGCCAATACCCCGTTTTCCTTTGGTTTTTCTTAGAATAATCAATTTATTGTGATAGTTCGTATTTGGGATATCACATAATATGTCCTGCATAGAGTTTTTCTCATTTTGGTGACTGTCTCACAGCATTCAATCACTGTTTATTCTTCATTGAACTCAATTGTTTTGATCATGGTATGATGGTTTTGAGATCTGTAGTTCACAAAGTCCAAATTTCAATGATATAGAACAGTTTAGTCTACATATATCATTTTGTATTCCGCATTTTCGTTGAAAAGCATTGAAACTAATAGCTATAATAGTGGTGTCCTCTTCATATCATATGTAGTTAATTAATTAAAAAATAATTAATTAATAAACAAATATTCAGTATCCAGTTCAATATCTTGATCAATATTATGCAAATTATAAAAAACCGTTGGGAATATATATATATCGTATGTTAAATAATAGGGGAGACGGAATGCATTCTTGAGTCACTCCTTGTGAGATAGACATTCCATCGGTCATATCAAAATTGATATTTTTCGTAATCTGTGGGCAGAAATTTTTTATAATATATCATGACCTTTCTTGCGAAATTATATAAAATCTGTATAATAGTATTTTATAAAGAACTGCCAAATTTCATATTGAAGAAATTACCATCGAAATTACTGTATGTTCATCCACTTTGTATTATGATGTCTGCAGTGATTCCCAAAAATCAATCAATTGTTTATGAGACGTCACCATTTTCTTTAGGTAAAGTGATATGTATAAAAAATTTTCAAGGGATATAAAACAATATAATGTAACTTTTGCTTACATCCTTAGAAATTATAAGAAGGCATGAAAATTAAATACGGATCGCAATAGCCTCAGCTGTGGGTCTGATATTGACACCATCCTGAATAGCATATAATTAAAATCCAGGAATTTTAGCTAGTCTGATTATTGTACTTTACTTTACGGAATTATGTAATACTGGTTTCAATTTACATTCACACTCAAAAGTTAGTTGTGAATTCCAAATATTACTACTCTTAAATAAGACCAACGGCAATAGTATTGTTTATCTATTTTGAACTTAAGAGATTGATACAATTAGAACAGTCAGGAAGTTAGCCATTATGCCCAAGGCTGAAAGGAAGAGACATTACAAAAAATTTATTTATCTACATTGCAAATTCCTAATTTTGAAACGAATCTAAAAAGATCATGTAGAAAGTAAGTATGGACAGTGTCCATAATCTGGACATTATAACTCAACAATCTCAATCTGGTTCTAATAAATGCCTACCAATAACAAATTAAATGTTTTTGTTGTTAATAACCAAATATGTAATAATATCAATTGCGATCATGTAGTAGTTACCTGTGTTATGCTCTTTGGTGACACTGTAGGTTTCTTTGAGGTTTATTCATTCAATATTGTCACATAATGGGAATATTGAACAAAATTATGCAGAAAAGATGGGGAATTACACATTATTCAGCAAGTAAAATTAGAACACTTCGAAGACTAAAACAAGTGATTGGATGGATTGTTCGTAATACTCTCAGTCACTAATATGATATCTAATCCTTACTATCCTAAGTAAGGATTAGAAACATATTCTGTGGAGGAATGAATACTGATCTCATTTAATGGTGCTTAAAACAATACCCATATGCATAACCTACAAAAAATCTAACCTAAAATAGTCAAGTTACAATTTATCAAACCAAATCCAAGATGGAAGTGGCAAATCTTTTAGCGAGTATGATAAACCAAAGGCCAGTGTGGATGCGCTGAAGAAAGTCATTGTTAAGGAATGAGCCCAAATACCAGGAAATCACATTCGTGAAGCATGCAACCAATTTTTTAACTGCTTGAAAACTATAGTCAAGGGAAAAGGTGAACACATTGAGCTGGAGTAAATGGCTTCTGAAATTTCGATAATTACCACTAATTTTTGTCATTTGAATTAAATAAAAAATTATTTCACATAAAAAAGATATGGTTGCTTGAATAGGTAACACTTCAAACGCTAAACTCTATAATACAACTTATTCAATGTTATTAGTTAATTAGAGTAATTAAGATATATGAAAAAAAATGTCCTCAATATTAGAAGTTATTGGTCTATTTACCATATATTAGTTAAAGTCCTTATATTGTAATATCTGTAATATTTTCTGGTTTAAATAGTAACGAAATGAAATTTTCAAAAATTTTTTAATACTGCGCACGCCTACACTGTGTCAAATAACAGTGCAGTAGCGGTTTTATATATAAAAACCCTAATTGAAATTCTGCATTAGATGCAAAGTAGTCATATTTTAATATTTCCCAAATCTTATAGTTTATAAGATACATATATATTTGTATATGTATAGTATAGTATACATACTCAAATTAGTAATATATTGTGTTGTTATAAGAATACAATTTTAAAACTTATGTAAAAATTCTAATATAAGTTGTAATTTGACGTCAGTTATGACGGAAGTGACTATTATATTTAATAGAAATTAGCAATCCCTGGTATTTGCAAGTTCAATCCCTGCTACTTGCAGTCTCAAAAAATTATTTATGAATAACTTTAAACATAAGAAATGACTAGACCATTAATGATGGGTATTTGACAATATTCGAAACATCTCTATGGTCAGTCAAAAATTCAATTAATTAAAATAATATAAAAAGCATTTTAGTTGTTGTAGTTTCACTACTATTCACTACTATTCTAAAAAGTTTTCTGTACAAATTTTAAGAAAATTTTCAAAATTTATTTACTTCTCCTAAATGATTTAGTTGATTTCGCTCCTGAAACATGCAAACAGCAAAATTTTGCTATTCAGCAACTCATCGCTCTGCCAACGCCTGAGCAAAGTTGGCAATGGTAAGGAAAATCATTGGGGATGCCAACAGTTAACGTCAGTCGCTTAGCATTCTTCGACTGTTTCGGTACTTTGAGCTCGGATCTGACGGCCTCTTCGCTAACGCACTACATACCTATACACTTTAGTATATATATAGAGATTTATATGGAAATACAAGCAGAGGAAAAATTAATCCATCGCCGTCGTAGACGAAATTTCTGAAAGATTCATCAATTTTTTTTACGTTTCCATTGCTTGCTTCTTAATTTCTTTTGTTTATAATAAATTTTTGCCTAATTTGCAATTTCATAAAATTAAATAAATAAATAAATAAATAAATAAGAATTAATGTGAAAGAATCAAGCGATTAAAAATAAACAAAACCTCAAGTGTCTACGATAAAAGTGAAAAAAAAAATTACGAAATTCGCTGTCTGGTGCTTAATGGTGCTTGTAAATTGAACACAAATAAATTTCTATATTGAAAATGTTGAGACATTTAACATAAAGAATATATTCTATAGTAGTTCTATAAAAAAAATAAAAAAAGAAATACTTAAAGTGTACAAAATAATTAAAAAAGCATTTAAACAAACGCCACAAAGAGAAGAAAACTTGCATAATTGGTGCTTTGAAACGGCATTAAAATCGCTTCTTCCATTCAAAGGACGTCTGTGAGTGTGTCTGTGTGAATTTTTAATACATAACAGGAAATTCCGACAGAAACTAAAAATAGGAAAATAAGACAAAATCAGAACTTTTCACTACCAAAAGTGCATACCACCCCCTTTTTGGCAACGTAAAACTTACAATCGACAATCCGACTCTCTCGTTTCGTGCTCAGAAGTGTTAAGGGAGGAAATGCATAACTGAATTCAGCGAGCTGAAAAACTCGGAAAACGTTGTTATCAAACGAATAGAGACAACATACGCACAAATATAAATTAACAAATCCTACTCTTATAATCGCACACAATCATATACAATCCATCGTACACAATCCAACAGAAGCGCACACAGCACTAAAGTCTCCGAAGAGTCCTTTGAAGGATTTGTGCAACCATAAATTACAAAAAGTAAACAAAACAGAACGACGAGCGCGATGAGTTTTTTACTACCGAGCGAAACATAAACTTCCGCTCAACTATTCTAAATTGTGACTAGTAAAGCAATAAAAAAAAGGATATGAAGGCTGCAGTATTCGCAGAAAAGGTAAATATTCTACATAAATACCGCATTCCTATACAATGCATGGTAAAGAAAAAATTCGCAAAATTTATGTTGAAACATGGTTGCCATGCTCTACATTTTTTTTTGATTTTTTAGTTCCTTTTTTAAATAATTTGACTTTTGGGGATGCTGGAATACTTGTAGTTAGATAAGTTCGTAGTTTTCTTGGGTTTTAAAAAAATAATTGAAATAAATGGATTTGAATGTTAATAAAGGAGTGGTTTAAATAGATTTAAGGATGTTACGCTTGATTAGCTTGGAGTGGCGGCCTTGTGCCCCTAGCTTATTTGACTTCAAATAGTAATCCGTTGTGATAATACGGACAGAGTCCAGAATTTGTTACGTGATTACCAGCCTTGGTAGCTTAACATCATTGTGTTCAAAAATACACGTGTTAATACAATGCACTAATCAACGCTCCGATGAAATTCCGAAGAATTTCGCCGATTCCAATGAATTTAAGTATTCAGAACATAACAGCAAAGCCCATCTAAAACTTTTGCTGATCTTTGGGTCACAGCATCCGGTGATAAACACGCAACTCCACGCCGAATGATGTTAAATGCATACCAATCAACGATACTGCCAACCTCAGTTGGTCAGAGTAGACAAAGCTGCGGGCATCCCTGACCCCCGTGGTACCAGATTCATACCACTCGTCGAGTGCTGCAAGTGATGGCACTTACTTACTACCATGCAAACTTAATGATAGTATCGGCATAGCGCCGGGATTGTAGTCGCCTTTTACGACAGACATGACTTACCGCGGGAATATACTAACCCCTTCACCGCAAATGGTGATACAACGGACAGTTGGGAACGTTACTTGATATACAAAACAAATAATATAATGAATGATATGTATATAAATAAAAAACTTTTGGTCAGGGTTTTAACAAAAACTCATGATCACCTTTTCGCAAAGCGGTCAACAAAACAAAAATATTAAACGTGTTAAAGAACGTTCGAGCTATTGTCAGCCTTGTGGACAATAGCTCACTCGAGCACAAATAATAGTCCATTAAAATACTACGCATGAGACATGCATGGCGTGTGAATAAATCTGAAGAACTATCTTAAAGGTACAAATTTGAGGTACCAAACTCACAAACCATGTCCATTTGAGAAGGTGTGATTTCCGTATTCAAGTAAAAGAAAACCAACCTGCTAAATTTATTAACTAACTTACTTACTGTTGTCCTACTAGTGAAGCATAGGGTCTCATCGGTTTTAGTCAACTGGATACTCATACTACATACGTTAATTTGGTGCATCCACATTGGATGCGCTTGCTGTCATGGCAGGAGGATTAGCCGTGAACCGCTTACCCCGTAGAGATTTAGTTCCGCTGTGGTCGTTCATGTTTGTTATGAGTGTTTGTAAAGCTTAATCGTTGAGTGATGGGTTAAAAAACTATGATGCACCGCTTTGTGAGTTCTAGAATAGTTGATTGTCTGCACCTACTTCTTGAGACGCTATGATGATCAAAAAGCCATTCAGACTAGTTGTTCGCATTTTCTTTTTCAACCGGACTTGGGACCGGCTACGGCGAAACCACTAAGATATGTACTTAAGTTTTGTTTTCTGTTTTTAAGTCCATTTTTCGATTACTATCTATATGACAATATACAATAAACAATACTTTAAAAATAGTTTCTACAGTTTCTAATTTTAAAGGAACACAGTTTTGTTAGATCAGTTAAAAAAAGTGATCGACATTGACTTAGATTGGGTACAGTTTCCTTTTTATCCGCGTAGCTGTAACTCCTATAAACGAAGAACATGATATGTAATGTACACATATAGGTATACTCATGTTCTTGGAAACTTACTTACAGAAATGGAAATAAAATTTTTAATCTATTATTTTAATATTAATAGATTGAGACAAGCTCAGTATTTATCAACTTAACATCCAACGTAGATACAAATTTTCAAACTACTGAAAGGAGTTATTCTCCTATTCTAGTTATTTTTGTTCGTCACTCTAATGGTTCAGTTTGCATGATAATTTGTACAGTTATAATCGCAATAATGGTTGTTATTGGAGTTTTATTTGTAAATGTGCCCGTATTTATTGTTACCTTACATTTAGGTTAAACTATATAATGAGTTAATGGTTTGAAGCAGTTCTTTATACTGTCAGACATAGTAGAGCCAGACATAGTGACAAAAATTAAGCTCCGTGGATTGTACTGAATATATACTGATAGCTTGTATCAGTGAACAAAATCTAGTTAGGATAGCTTTTTGTGTCGATTTTTATGGTAAGCAGCAGAGAGATTGATTTTTTCTGCATTAAAGGGATGACGATATGCTCGAAACCTAAGGGTGCTCAATTAGATGCCACCGGATCTCAATTGGAATCAGTGGAAAGACTTGAAGAAGTACGTCAAAACTGGACACAGGTTTGAAGATTAAAGAATAGAATTAAGATTAGTATTGCCATTTAGGATTTGATGGGGTTGACAAAAGAAGTGAATACATGCAAAATCTCTATTTTTTATAAAAAGAAAACAACTTATGACTGCTTCTTCTACTTCATTTATAAAATTATACTTTGTGTTTAGTGGTTCACACTTACTGCACTATTTCAGTGCCCCTGCTAGTGTTAATAACTCTGTCGGTGGTCACAATTTTTACTAATTTATTTCTCAGCCTTCTATGAATATGATTTCTTTACTCACTTTCTATTGTGCTATTTCTAACAATATTCTATATATTGAATATTCTAGATATATCAATATTCTAGATATTGAATATGGATAAAATTTTAATCTTAATTCTAGTTGATATATGTTGAGTAGTATATAAATGATATCTATCCTATTTTCTTTGTGTATGATAGTCATATATATATAAATATATATATAGTATTATATCAAGCGGCCACGAACGACTCAAGTCTGTAATGCCCAACTTAGTAAGCACTAAATATATCGATCGGTTTTCATTAATTTTTAGAGTTGTATTTTTTATTATATGCACTGTAGAAACATTATCACCAGTATTTTTTATGACAACACAGTTTTAGTAGTATCTGAACCTGTCGCATGATAGCCTTCCATTCTTGACATTTTTTTTTGCCTTAACATAGTTATTCAGTTGTTGATATTTTCTCACCATAAATCATTATTAACTCCATCTATTCATCTTATGTGGAAGCATCATTTTCTCTCAGATTTATGGAGCACTCGTTATTTAACATAATCAAGAGTAACTTAACTGTAGCATATGACACTGAATACACTAAATATTTATTTGTTCTAGTTTCTAAAGTTTCTTAGTTTAATATACATATGTTCTAAGCTTGATTAGTAAAGAAATTGTATCGTGCTCTTACCAGTTTACTGATATCACAGGCGTTTCTTCATAATTTTTTTATGGTATCGAAAATTTAAAATTTTAGATTTGATATTTTCATATATCAAAAATATCACACAATATATTCTTTTAGTTCGAGTTTCACTTCGGTTTTACTAATGGCAGTAATACTATAATAATAGAGTGTAATTAATTTAATAATTTTTCTATACTCATAGAGACAGTTAGGTCTAGTTACAGTTCAAGAGAACGTTTTAAAATAGTGCTTCCCTCCAGTGATTGAAAATGGCGATACATAAAATTTGGGATGTATAAAGTAATATGAAAAAGTCATACAGAACTCAATATAGATATTAAATTAATTGTCAAATAATATTTAATTTCATATGTATTAGACCTTCAGCCCTGACTAAGTAAACACAAATTACTTATTCAGTGAATTATTTTGCATAGTTATAATTACAATAATAGAACACCATGAAAGTGGTTATTAGAAAAATATGCCTACAGTATATTCCGGTACATTCGTGCAGAGAATCATTATGTATCTCAGAATAATATTAAATAATCTAATATTTTTTGTGTTAATAAACTCTTCGTTAAATCTGAAAAAACCAACTTAATAGTTAATTAAAATTTAAATTAAAAAAAACTTGGAACTTGAGCATTGAAAGTTTGTGCAATCTTGGCTACTTGTGGAAAAACATGATTAGTCATTGCTTCTAATTTGACAGACACTAGTTCTAAGCCTGGCACTTGCAGTTCAAACGAATTATATACGGACTATAAACTAATTTAAAAAATTCGAATATTTGCTACGACCACTGATGATAAGTACTTAGAAATATTCGAAACAGCGTTGTATGGTCAGACAAATTACAATAAAATAACTAAAAGTTTTGTTGTTGTCTTTTTATTTTTATTCGAATCCTTCCAATTTTTAAACAGTTTTTTTTCGTCATAAGACGCGTTACTTTCGAAAAAAAGAATTAACATTATTTAGGTTTACAAAAGCCTTTAATAACATAAACAATACTAAATTAGACTAAATTGTACTCACTAATTAAGGAACATATCTATGGTCTGCATGAAAATTAACTTGAATGTCCAGATAATATGATAGGCGTGCTGACTCGCGCCTATTTTCGTAACCTTACGCAAACCATTAAGACTCATAACGTCGTCTTCATTTACAAAAGCTCTCAGTAATATCCGAAAACAATGGTTAGTAATTATTGTATTAAAAAGACTCTACTTCACAATTGCCGAATTACTACAGGAACTTACAAAATGCCTTTTATATTTTTACAGAACAACATAGCCTTTTAGCAATGAAAATACAATTACTTAGTTTTCGTGTCATTTATTTCTTAACAAAAAATTAAATCATTTAGACCGTATAAACTTAGCCTAGTTTTCGAAACGTTATCGAATGAATTCCAACAAATCTAATTTTTCAATTAAAAAGTTTTGATTTATAAACCCTTCTAAGTTAAGCAAAACTTTATCTTCAAACTTGATCTATAACACTCTTGTACCACTTCAGTTTTGCCATACTTATAAGCACTTCTAAGTTAAGCAAAACTTGATCTTCAAAACTGATCTATAATACTCTTGTACCACTTTAGCAGTCAACCGACTATGGTTGGTGATACCAC